CACACACTTTCATTGCCTTGATACACTTGTGCTCTCACTTATTGATACATCATCCAGATACAATCACGCTTAGGTCTCCCTGACCCCAATGCACCCATACTCCCTCATATATATGCTCCACCCAGAAAACACCCACACTCTTTTACACAATACAGATACAGCCACATCAGCAAACACATAAACCACCCAGATACCCCTCACCCTATGTCACCATCCAGGTAAACCCATACTCACACACCCCTCAAATATACACATCCTCACATATATCCCCAACCCAACTCTCACTTATATCTTCCTCCACTCACACAGGCCACTTTACATGCAACCACACTCACCACCCACTCCCAAACACACCCAAATGCCTCACATGCACATCCTACCCAGAAACACCCATACACCCATGCTCTCTCTCTCTCTACTTTTTTTTTTTTTTTGAGATGGATTCTTGTTCTGTCACCCAGGCTGGAGTGCAGTGGGGTGATCTCTGCTCACTACAACCTCCTCCTGGGTTCAAGCAATTTTCCTGTCTCAGCCTCCTGAGTAGCTGGGACTACAGGCATGCACTACCACGCCCAACTAATTTTTAGTAGAATGGGGTTTCACCATATTGGTCAGGCTGGTTTTGAACTCCTGACCTTGGGCGATCCACCTGCACTGGCCTCCCAAAGGGCTGGGATTACAGTCATGAGCCACTGCACCTGGCCCATGCTCTCTTTTACTCATATACAGACCACATCCTTTCTCTCTGACCAGATATACCACCCCCCCAAACACACACACTCTACTAAGATATATTTTCACTTTTTTTTTGAGATGGAATTTTCACTGTGCTGCCCAGGCTGCAGTGCAATGGCACAATCTCAGCTCACTGAAACCTCCACCTCCTGGGTTCAAGCGATTCTCCTGCCTCAGCCTCTCAAGTACCTGGGATACAGGCGTGTACCGCCACACCCAGCTAATTTTTGTATTTTTAGTGGAGATGGGGTTTCACCACGGTATCCAGGCTGGTCTCAAACTCCTGACCTCAGGTGATCCGCCTGCCTCGGCCTCCCAAAGTGCTGGGATTACAGGCGCGAGTCACCACACCTGGCACTTTCAGTTTTATATATACACATTAACATCTAGATTTCTGCCTGGATGGCATAATTTGGGTCCTCTCAGTGAAAACTATTTACCAACCCTAGATACCATACAATGCCACTCTACTCTGGGCCTTTGATGGTCGGGGGGATGAGAAGGGAGGTCTTTGTGTTTCAAGGAATCTTTTTCTAAACAGGCCTCTTTTCCCCAGTAGGGCATCAGCCACAGTTGATTCCCACTTCTTGAGTGTGAAAAATGACAGGAATTATCCTGAGACCCCCCCCAACAAAAGCCCATCACATGGTCAAGGCCAGAGAAGCCCCAGAATGGGGGTCACAGGCTGTTCAGGTGTCATAGCTTGCCAATCTGCAGGATGTCTACACACTTACAGACAGACATGGTCTCGCAGGGTACCACTGACTCTCAGTCATACACAAATATACACTGAGATACACAGACTTGTAAGTATCCTCCCTTTTCATCCCCTCACCAATAAGGCCCAATCTGCACAGGCCTGAGGCCAAGTATCTCTCTGTCACACCAACTGACAGGCACATGCACAAATACACTCATTTGTACACATGGACACACTCACACTGCACTTAGTCACATGTGTACATCCATTTACTCTTAAATATAGGCATGCATGCATGACATACATTCACATGACATAATGCCCACGAATGACATACATTCACTCACAAACACAGGGGTACACACAGGCATACTTTCACATGTCCACCGGCAGACTTTGTATCACACCCAAGGAGATGATGAAAACACATGGACACAGAGAGGCAAGCTCCCCAATGTGTGCACACACCCCTCAGACATGACCACACATATTTACACACTCACACACCTGTGTGTGTGTACTCACACACATAAACACCTAGATATGCACATGCTTGTAAATAACATTATGGAAAGATATGCAGACATTCCTAACACAGACTTGTACACACAACTGGGCATGTTCATATGCACATAGACTTGTTCATTAATTCATTCCCATATGCATACACTCAGACATGGAAAGAAAAATGTATTCACAAAACATGCTCACACTAGCACAGCCAGATAGGTACACCATGTACATTCCTACATGTTCATACACCCATATGAGAAGCTACACAATAAAGAGGAATCATTTACGCCTACATTCTCACAGATGGACTTGGACACAAAGGTGTATTCACATGCATACACATATGGAAGTACACTCACATAGACACAACTGTACATTCACACAAAAAATACTAATCCACACTCATCACAGACACACACATCCTCTCACACACACACACTCACACTTTAACACACATAGGCTTAGAGTGGCATGCATGCACATTTCCTTACATTGTTCCAGAACACAGATGTATAAACATAAACACATATATGCAAATAATTAGAACTGTACAAACTGGCACGTTCAAACATTGTATGTGTTTATGCCTGTACATTCAGACAGGTATACACACAGGCATATTCACACACACACACACACACACACAGATGTGTATGAACAGGCAAGCACATACAGACATGTTCAATGAAACACACACAGCCAAATATTCACACATACTAGCATATACACCCACATATACACTCACAGTCACTCACAGGATATTCAATACACATGCACACTCACACACTCAGAAATTCAGGCAAAACACATAATGAAACATGCACACCCAAGTAGCTACTCATGCATGCCACAATCAGACATGTACTCACACATAACAGTGTACACACAAACACAATTAAACATATAGACAGTGCATCAATTAACCTATGCACACAGCCTTTGCGTGTGTGTGTTTGTGTGCAGATAGGCATACACCTCCACACAGCCATACTCACACACATAATCAAATGTGCACATGTAGGCATACCCATGAAATAGATTTTCATTCACACTCTCCTTTATCCACACAATTAGTTCTCCTTATACTAGTGTGCCCACCTACACTAACATTTCCCTAATCGGATGTGAACATAAAGCTTTGTCTACAGGTGATATGCACTGGAACATGCACACATGGACATCTATATAATTTAAAATGCTGGAGAAGCCACATATAGATATTCACAGAAAGGCCCAAGCCTACTCACACAAATGCAGGACAGACACACTCATATATACACACACATACACATCCTCTCATACATGCATGGACACATGTCCTTACACTCACAAACACACCCTTTAGATGCACCTACACTCATGATCACACACCAATATGCACAGTCAGATGCACATGTGAGCACATACAAATATGCACAATCAGATGCAACTAGGCATTCATCTAATTGGATATGCATACCCAGGCATTCTGAAGCCCACACACCCATACACATATAACCAGACAAGTACACTCAAAGAAAAACTGATGCCACACACATATACAACCAGACATTCAACAGGCCCATTGGCTCAGAGAAAACACACCCACATTCAGGCTCAAAATCAAACATGCCCATTTGCCCACCCAGACAGACATGCAAAGTCATGCCCACCCCACAGTACACACACACACATGCATGCCACACACTCACACGCATGCCATCGCATGGCCTGCTCACACACACAGGTTCATACACAGCTACGGTGCCCATGAACAGACACACATACAGACTACACACTCAGCCACACATTTTCAGTAGCATATATACAGCCACATTCAGGCCCAGAGGCATCTGGACCACAGACCAGGTCCTCTCCCACACCAAATGCTTCTTCAGAAGTCTACTTCATAACTCAAAGCTCCCCTCTGCCTCCACAGAGATGGTCTTCTGGGCCTCAGTCTTTCCCCCTCCTCCTTTTCCTTTGGCCACTGACCCCATAGTCTGTGTCCCATCATATCTCCACACCTCAAAATCAGCCAGCAGATCCCAGTCTTCCACCACCCCAGGCTCTAAGTGAGCAGCTCCCCGGGACGCGTCCCTTACGGGTCTGGCTGCTGCATGGGCCACACCCCAGCCCTACCCAAAGCCCCGTGATCTCAGGAGCTTCAGCCTCATCTCCAGGCCCTGCCAACCACCGACCACAGGCTAAACTCTTGCCAAGTCTCCCCTCAACAGGGAAATGCATACATCACCAGGGCCAGGAAGGCTGCAGGCTGCAAGCCAGGCCTCTGCTGGCACATGGGGGCTCAAGCCTCTATGTGTGTGTGTGTGTGTGTGTGTGTGTGAACAAACAGGGGCAAGTGCAGGGAAAGAAGCCTGGAGTGGGGTGGGGGAGGGAGGTTCTGCCCATAACCACTTATCATTCTCTACAAATGAGAAGTGTCAACACAGGGCTTTTCCTGCCTCCCTTCCACTCCCCTCTATTTGTCCACTTGCTGCCCTCCCCAGATCTCTACTGAGACCCTGGAGAAGAAGGATCAGTCCCTCCTCCAAGTAATCAATAGTGCTATTAATCATGAATAATCAGCAACAATGTTGACCATGAGCTTTGCTGACATTGCTTCAGTGCCACTTCGATGCGCATCCCTTACTTACATGCACCAACTCATTCAGTCCCTACACATACCCATCAGGGCAGGGTTGCTGGCCTCTTTGACAGATGGGAAAACTGAGGTTCAGTAAGTGGCATGCTTCCACTAAAGTTGCAGATCTAGTAGTAGGGGGAAGTGTCCCTGGGAGGATCCATGTTCTCCATGTACCAGACTTTCCTGCCCTTCCAGATACACAGACCTCTGGCTACTGGGCACAAGGCCACAAGATCCAGGGGGTCCCAGACACAACATGGGCATCTGAAACAGAGACAGAGAGCCTTGTGGTGGAGGCTGGGGCCCACACTATGGGGACAACCATGTTGTTCCTGGCCCCTGCAGGTTGTCATGGGGCTTGGTCTTTGCCCCCACAGAACCATCAGGCAGCCTAGGGCCTAGAAGTGCTCATCCCAACCACCTCACCTTCCTTCAGCCCTACAGTGGCTTCCTCCCCCTAGCTGGAATCGGCAACATCTTCAGTGGTGAGTGAGCAAAAGTCTGCTACCTGTAGGGAGAGATGGGGTGGTGGGAGGTGGTGGTGGAAGGAAGGAAGGAAAGGAGGAAAGAAGGAGTGGGGGGTGGTCTGGTCTGGGAGCAGCTTCTCTGTCATGTCTACCCACCTGCTTGCTACCCAGGTGCATGCACACACACACACACACACACACACACACACACACACACCCTGCCAGCAGGCCAAGGATCCTGGAGGAGAGTGGAGGAGGAGGGAGAGGGAGAGGGAGAGGAGCAGCCGCAAGAGGCTGAGCCTGCCCAGGGTGCAGGCATTGTGAAGGGAATACGGCCGGGCTCCCAGGCATCCCTTCCACAGCCAGCACACAAGGAAAGATTAACACAGCCTCATGCCCAAACGTGACCATGATGATAAAAACAGACCCTGTGAGGGGAAACAGGTGGTGGTTCCCTTTCTCATGGGACATTTGGGATTGGGGAAGATGGGGAAGATGAGGAGTCTCTAGGCTTGGGTGCCAAGGAGCCCCTGTGATGGAGCAGAAAGAGACTAACAGAATCAGAGAGACAGAGAGCATGGCAGTGATGGAGACTCTGAAATATGTGTGGGGAGACAGAACAGAAGTCCCAGCCCCCCCATCCTTGGTGGAGGGATGCCGACTGCTTACCTGGGCTCTCTCAGCAGGGATATCTTGGAATCCACGATGGGGGCTCAAGCTGTCTCACCCAGGATAAATCAGAGCCCCGGCCACATTGTGGGACCCTCAGTGATCTGGCGGTCAGTGACACTCCCGCTTCTGTTGCCGTGGATACAGCCGGGCTAGTCTAAATCGCAGGCATCAGGGAAAGCAGGCACCAGAGGGGTGCACGGGGAAGGGCTGGGGGTGTTGGGGAACGCCAGGTGGGCAGCACACAGCCTTGGGGTGCCCAACTAGCTGGCAGGTGGGGGTCCCGGCAGGTGCTTCCTCCACTATACACTCCCACCCCCATCTTCATGCCACTGCCAAGCTGGGAGGGGGGCCAGTGCTGGCCCCTGCTACCCGTCTGCCTGCCTGGCTGCTGGTCCCCCTGTCCCCCCTCCCCCACCCCCCCCTCCGTCTGCCTGCTGCCCGCCGCCTTTTGTCCTCAGAAGACACGGTCCCTGCGGGGCCTCTGCCAAGCCTCCAGCAGATGCTCAGGGTCCGGGGCTCCTCCCTGGGAGCACAGGGGCCATGGCCTGGGAGAGCCCCAGGTTGGGGGGCTCTCATCCAGGCTCACCCCGCTCCCCGGGCCTGGCAGGGATGGGGAAGAGGTGCAGGTCCACAGCCAGAGGCAGCAGCAGAGGTGGTGTTGGGGAGGGGATGGACGCCAGAAAGAGGGGGTGGGGTGGAGAGAGAGGCTGGCCTGATAGCTGTGTCCCGGGTTTTAGATCCGGGTTGAGAAGGGTGGCTCAGAGCATCAGAGGGGGGTCCTCATGCAAAACGGGGGCACCAAGGGCCTGCCGGAGGGACCCTCCTGGCCTGGGAACCACCCCGGTGCACACAAATCCAGGTCCCACGATGCTGAGGACACCCAGCCTGGATACAGCATCACTGGGAAGTCCGGGGCCCTAAGCTGGACCCCATCGGGCCTGTCCGTCCCCCCTCTCCTCGATTTGCACGGTCCCTGTCTCAGGGGCGGGTGGAGGAGGAGGGAGGCAGGGAGGGAGAGGGAGGGAAGGAGGGAGGCTGAGCAGGCAGGGAGACTCCCAGCTGCCAGCCTGGTCCTCCCTGGGGCGGGGCGGGGAGTGGGGGCTGGAGAGGCCAGGGAGCAGCCGGCTGGCTGGCTGACTGGGTGGGGACTCTGGCGTGGCGACTGTGCTGCCAGGACAATAGCTGGCTGGGGAAGTCAGGCTCGGGCCTGTCTGAGATGCTCAAGAGAGGCATGAGTGGAGGTGGGGAGAGAGAGCCAAGAGGCTGCTGAGAGAGCAACTCACATGGGCTACAAGTGCAGAGGAGGCAGGGCAGAGGGGACGCTAGGGTCTGGGTCAGGACAAAGGTCCGGTGAAAGTTTCTCAAAAGCTTTGGGATGGGAGGCATGCTTAGGGCCTGGAGAGGTGGGATACATACACTGATTTAGAATGGGGTTCTATGGACATTTTCTCTGCAAGGCCTGGAGGTTGGCTGGGGGGGTGGGGGTGGAAAAGGAGAGCTGCCCAACTCTGAACAACCCCTCTCAGGATATCTTCTGTGCCATCCCCACTTTCTCAGGGCCAGCAGAAAGGCAGGAATCCATACTTAAAGCCATGTCCCAGGATAGCAGAATAGGAAGGGGAGGAGAACATCTGGTAGGCAGAGCTATGAAGACAAGGAAAAAAATATTTGTTGCAAATATGATTACATTGGGACTAAATGATGCTTCCATGGCTCCCCTAAGTCACAACATTCAAGAATTCCAATTTTCTTGATGTAAGAAATTGTATTTTATTTCCTTTCTTCCTTCATCCATTGGTTCCCTCATTTATGACAAATGGTTTTATGTTAGGCCCAGTGCTGGGCACTAATGGTACCAGGTGACTCAGACCTGCACCCTGCCCTTAGGAAATGCAGGCTCTGCTACCAGACTGTGGGCCTGGAACCCACTTGCATCTTAAAAATTAGCTGGACATGGTGGTGTGTGCCTGTAGTCCCAACTACTTGGGAGGCTGAGCTGGGAGGATCCCTTGAGCCCAGGAGGCTGCAGTGATCTGTGTTCTCACCACTGCACTCCAGCCTGGGAAACAGAGCAAGACTGTCTTAAAAAAAACAAAAAATAAAAAAAGGCAAAACAGGCCGGGCACAGTGGCTCATGACTGTAATCCCAGCACTTTGGGAGGCCAAGGCAGGTGGATTGCTTAAGCATGGCTAACGTGGCAAAACCTTGTCTCTACTAAAAGTACAAAAATTAGCAGGGCATGGTGGTGCCTGCCTGTGGTCCCAGCTACTCCAGAGGCTGAAGTAGGGGGATTGCTTAAGACCCAAAGGTTTCAGTGAGCAGAGATCACGCCACTGCACTCCAGCCTGGGTGAGGAGTGGGACTCTGTCTCAAAAAGAAACAAAAGGCAAAATAATGAGGCTTCTAAAATACGATATAACAGAATATCTTTATAATCTTGGGATAAGGAAAGAATTATAATCTTGGGGTAAGGAAAGCCAAGAAGTAATTACCATAAAGGAAAGGAGTGATCCATTGAACAGCATTAAAATTTAAAACTTCTGGTCATCAAAAGATACCATTAAAATAATGAAAAAGTAAGTCATAGAATTAGAGAAAATATTTGCAAAGTATGTATCCATTTAATAAAAGGCTCATATGCAGAATATACAAAGAACTTTTACCAACCAATAAGAAAAAGACAGATAACCCAATAGAATAACAGGCAAGACACTTGAACAGGGACCTTAGAAAAGAGGATATCCAACTGGCCAAAAACTTAGGAAAATGTGCTCAACCTCATGGTAGTCAAGAAAATACAAAATGAAATTATGCTCACTGGATTGACTGAAAAGAAAAAGACAATACCGAATATTGGTGAGAATGTGGAGTGATTAGAGACAGAGTCTTGCTCTGTCACCCAGGGTGGAGTACAGAGGTGCGATCTGGGCTCACTGCAACCTCCATCTCCCAGGTTCAAGCGTTTCTCCTGCCTCAGCCTCCTAAGTAGCTGGGATTACAGGCATCCACCACCACACTTAGCTAATTTTTGTATTTTTAGTAGAGGCGGGGTTTCACCATGTTGACCAGGCTGGTCTCAAACTCCTGACCTCAGGTGATCTGCCCACCTCGGCCTCCCAAAGTGCTGGGATTATAGACATGAGCCACTGCACCCAGCCAAAGAGACTTTCTAGAGTGCTGGGAATGTTCTGGGTCTTGATTTCAGAGCCGATTACTCGAGTGGTTTAGTAACAGTTCATCGAGAGTGTGCATTTATGTCTCGAGTGCTTTTCTTTTATTTTTTCTTTTTATTGAGACAGAGTCCCACTATGTGGCTCCAGCTGGTCTCGTGAGGAAGGGATTTCAGCTCCCCGGCCCTCCGGTTACCACCCCCTTTCTCCCTTATTTGGGTTTTTCCAGAAGAGTCACAGATGTGTCAACCTGGCTGGGATTCTGGCCGTTTTCTCTACCTTATTTTAGATTTTCTATTATCTCATCGTTTCTTTGCCTAGTTCTTGTTTTAGCAGTTGTTTAGTTTTTTCATCCTCCTGTAACCATCTAGTGCCCTTTCTATTTCATTCACCCTTCAGAGATTTCCATCCCTTATTCTTAAGGGTTGATGAGGGAGGAGGCCAGTCATCTGCATCTTCTTGCTGATTTAAGGGTGCTGGCCTTGCCAACCCAGGGATTGGAAATCTCCAGCTGCCTGGTCTACGGGTCCCCAGGTGCATCAGCAGGAGAGTCTGATTCTGAGACAAGAATTGGCTGAAATCCTTGCATGATCATTATCTTTACATAAAATTTCTGTAACCCGGAAGATATAAACTTCACCTGGGTCTAAAGATGAGGCTTTGGTTAGCTTGAGTTTGGTGTTGGATACTGGCAGGAGTCAGTGCCTGCTTTAGATGAGGTACGTGTACCCAGGTGTCAAAGCCCTGTAAGGTTCTGCATGGCTGGGGAAGCCTCAGGAAACTTACAATGATGGCGGAAGGTGAAGGGGAAGCAAGGACCTTCTTCACATGGTGGCAAGAGAGAGAGAATGAGTACTTTTCTTATGTGTTATGCTACTTCAATACAAAGTTTTTAAAAATGAAAAAGTAAAAGAGGCAATCAGATTGTTTCATAACAGTGTGAAGCAAAGGTGGGAACTGAGAGCTGTGGGAGCTCAAAAATGTCAGAGGTGGGTGGGGAGAGGTGTTGACACCCAAGGTCAGTGTGGAAGAAATGGAAGTGAGCCTAAAGTTTAAAAGGCAGCATAGTGCAGTCACTCAGAGCACTGACCAGGGAGCCAGACTGCCTGGGTTTGAACCCATGCCTCTTACCCTCAAGTTCCCTATCTGTTAAGTGGGGTGATAATAGTACTTACAATAAGGTTGTGAGGATAAGTGAGGTAATATCTGTGAAGTGTTCAGAACAGTGTCAAGGCATAATCAGCACAATGTACCTCTTTATTCCATTTAAAAAGGTGACTAGGTGAGTGAAACAGCCTGTACAAAGGGTTGCAGGGGGTCCCAGAGAGTAGTGTGTCTGGAGCTGCTGGAAGCAATATGGTGTGGCCTGATAGACGCTCAGCAGGCAGGGATGAGACTGTGAATGCCATCACTGTTTCTTGCCATCATCAACAACAGAACAATACTTTCTCTTGACAGTCTCGGAATGTCATGAGTGAAGGCTGAGTGAAGGCTAACTGATGGCAAACTAAGATAGTAAGATCCAGGTTAAGATCTCTCTTTTGAGATAAAGTTAGCCGTCACTCATGACCTTCCAAGGCCGTCATGAGAAAGGATTGTTCTGTTGTTGGCGATGGCAAGGAACAGTGACAGGGAAGGAATGCCTTGCAAAGGAGGGTCGGGGGGCCAGCTGGACTGACCCCCGCCGCCGAGGCTATCCACTCTGAAGCAGCTTTCCTCCCTTTGCAATGGGAGGAGAGGGCACTCCAGAAAGGCCTGTCTTTATGAGGTGAGCACACAGAAATCATCAGGCAGAGTTGTAGGGATAGAAAACAGGGGAACAGTAGGGAAACTGAGTTATGTACTTATAGCCACAGTCCCCTTTTTGAATAAACTCCAACACTCCAGGAACGGAAGAGCCATAGTTCCTTTCTGCCTGTGTCCCTCTGTTTATCGCCCTGAGCAGGCAGGGAGATAAATAGGTTTTGGAAGATTTAAGAAGCTCCTTCCATATTTGCTCCTGTTTCTATCTCTGAAATGACAGTACTCCACCATCTGGTGAGCAAAAGCACCTTCGCGGGGCTGCAATGGTCTCCTTAACCAGTCAGTGAGGCTACCCTGAATTAGGAGAAAAAGTGTCAAGTTCTGCTATTCAGTTATACTTTTCAAAAATTTAACGTTTTAAATTGTGGAATATAATGTACAGATAGAAATGTGCATAAGAATTACAGATGAAGAAATAGTTTTAAAATGAACACCCACTTAACCACTGTGCAGCTCAAGAAATAGAATATTAATGATTATTAATCCAGCATTAATGATTATTTAAAAAAATAAAAACATATTCCTATGATAAGGAAATTTTTTACATGGTGTATAAATAGCTGGGAATGGTTTGATTCATTTCTCACCCATTTAAACTGTCCTAGTTACTGAATCTAAACGAGGCTTGAATAAAAATGTTCCTTTCCAACTTACTCTGAACATTTCCTTAGAGTCAGAATCCCCTTTCATTGTCTCAGAAAACTTTCCCTTTAAAAATTATGAACATTTCAAACATGCAGAGAGTAGTACCATGAATACACATACATATACTATCCAGATTGGACAATGAATAAGATTCTACTGCAGTTATTTCATCTATTCTATTTTTTCTTTTGTTGAAGTATTTCAAATCAAATCTTAGTCATTGTATCATATCACTATATACTTCAGTATGCAATTCTAAAAAATGAGAATATCTTAAAACCACTATACCATTATTACATGGAGGATAGTGACAATTCCTTGGTGATGTCTCATAATACCAAGTCCACAGTTACCCAATTGTCTTCATAATCGAATGTCTTTTTACATCTGGCTTGTTCTAACCAG